CTAAGCCCAGATAAAGGAGGAGGGTTGGGCATGGGGTTAGCGACCCCATCTAGTAGAAAACTAACTCGCTAGAAAGCGCTAATCAGAAAAAATTATTCAAACCACTTAAACTCTGCCCTGGGAGTCAGACGGACTTCATTTAGAAGAGTTATGACGCCTTATGATGAAAGCCGAGTTCCTTCGGAAGCCACGAGGCCGATGCCCCTTCTAACAACCAGAGCAACCATTAATTTAGGTAAATGGAATGCTCGTACAATGTGAGGGACTGGGGGATTCTTCCAAAGTGCTGCCGAAATGAAAAGATACAACCTAGAGGTGTTTGGGATCAGTGAAACACATTGGACGCAAGTTGGACAGCAACGACTAGCTTCAGTGGAGCTGTTGGATGAATACGGTTTTGCTTATCATATGTTGTTTTGTTTTTTACTATGTGAGTAAACAAATCAACTTCTCACTTGAAGAAGAAATAAGGAAATGATATTGGAAATGGAGAGGACACATATTTTTTAAGTTATCAAACTACATCACGAGGCAAATGCTAACTTGTAATTGTGAAGGAAAATGGAATAAAATTGGAATTGGACATGAATAGCAAGGGGGAAGAACTGGAAAGGATTGTCCAGGACAGAGTTTGATGGTCAATGCTGGTGAACGGTCTGTGCGCCTTTATGAGATGTAACAGGCGTAAGTATATATGTGTATATATAATACTGGCAATCGTTGTTATGCCAACTTCTGAATCACCAGCAGTGCGCCTCCACGATCCTCTCGAGATTTCAAACCAGGACCTATCGGTCTCACGCACGAACACAACCTCTAGACCACTGGGTTGACCGGTATCCAATGGTGTCAATGTATTACTTCAACCAATCCACGAAATTGAGCTACACATTCACAATTTTCATCAGTGAGACCAGTTGAAATCCACTGGTCCCTGCTTCTCACTAGAAATGCAGGAAATACCTGTTGAAGCAAGTCACTATTGAGCATATGGTGATTAATATCAGAAGAGTTTTGTGGAGATTTTAGTAACTTTAATCGGTGAGATAATAAGTCAATTAGAGCTAGACCACCATAGGAAGTCTGAAAGCACTGAATGACTAGCCATTTCACCCTATTGTGGAACTCCTCCTTGGCGGTGCGTATCCACGACCCTACCTTTCGAGATTCGAACCCAGGACCTATCCGATTTTGTAGAAAATAACTTAAATTGTAAAAATCTTTGTTGTTGAAGTAGATCGTAAGGATTTTTTAAAAACAGTGATTCAATAATAAATGTTACCATTGATATTCACTGTGGAATATTAGCTTTTCAGCTGAGATTAACTTTATAAGACTTTTATATGTCTTCTTATTCAGGGGTTCCCCCACATGGGTTCGAATCTCATTTTCGTGGATACTGATAAGTCTTCTAATTGAATACTAGATTCGGCTTCTTAAGCTCTTTCAGTTAACCCATGCTAAACGTGCATAGTAACTTGTCATGCCAACTTCTGAGTCACCATTGTCTATTTTATATTGTTGTTCTCGTAAGCAATATAAAATGAATTCAGTTGTTATTCTGACTTTATTTAAATAGTCTTATTATGTTAAACAGAGCAAGAACGAAGATTCGGGCAGTAATTATGCGACATACAATAGTTAGATCGTTGACTAATTCATCAAAGGCATTAGTTTCTGTCAAACGACGGGTTTACTGTGGAGCAGTTCGTTCTGTCCTACTTTATGGCAGTGAAACGTGGCTGGTAAGAGTAGACGATATTCGCGGGTTACTAGTATTCGATCATAGGTGTCTTCGAAGCATTACTCGTATATCCTGGAACCGCCGAGTAACTAATGCAGTTATTAGGAAACGAGTACTAGGTAAGGATGGCAAATCAACTGATGAAGTAGTGAAACTTCATCATTTGAGATGACCGGGACACATGTTACGTATGCCCGACCACCGACTGTCCCGACGTGCGATGTTTTATAGTGTAGGATTATGTTGGAAGAAAGGTAGGGACAGCCAGACAAAAATATGGCACAAATCCATGAAGTCACTGACAAGTGAACTGAACCATGTTGATAGGTGTAGACTACCTGGTTGGGATCCGCGAGATGATAGTCATGATCCACTCTTTGTGTTCTCCCAAATTCTAATGTTCTGAATTCCTCATATCCCTTTATTTTTTGCTCTTTCCAAATTTATTTCACTGGATTATACTCCTTGAATAAGATCTGCAAACCCCAATCTTTCCGTTTACTGCTTATACTTTTACTACCTCTACCGCTATGGGATTTGAATCGGCAATTCCATCTGTGTGTTGATGTGGTATGGCAACTCGAACTGATGTACATACGTACGTATGAAGTTTCACGTTATTGCTGACTGACTGACTGATTTTCTGCCTTCAAACGTTCAACTAGTAATTTTATTGATTCTATGTTAGATTTTATGATGCACCGAAGATGTTTAAGAGAATGTAGAACTTTTACATAAGCATAAAGATTTTAAAAATTGAAATGAAAAGAAACAGCAGAACTTGAGACATTCAACAAAAACAAAAAAAAAAACTTAAGTCAAGTCATTTCACTTGAATATTCTACAGTCTATTATCATTCGGCAATTAAATGTCTTGAAATAACTGTTCAAGGAGACTCATTCTGAGAAATTTCATACACATTGTTCTTACTCTTTTTAAGATAATTAAAAGAACTAATGTATATGAATAGTCTTATTATGATCACCTGGTTATGACAGAATTGAGTTGATTAATCATTTTAATGATTATATTATATCATTTGAATTGATTCTATGTTGACCCTACAGTAAAACGAATACATTATGAAAAGTATAATATTATTGTTACCATTACTGTGACCGTTATCCCTGCTACTATTATTATTACCATTATAATTAATACTGCTATTAGTATGATTATTGTTACCATTACTACTACCGTTATCATTATTATTATTACTATAATTAGTAGCATCATTATTACCAATACTATTACCATTATTACTGTTACTATTATTAGTATGATTATTATTACTTTACTTATTTTTACTTACCCCTGTTGCTCCTAATGGAGCATAGGTTGCCGACCAACATTCTCCAACCCACTCTCTCCTGTGCCTTCTTTTCTATTTCCATCCAATTCTTGTTCATTTTTCTTATGTCTATCATCATTTCCTGGCGTAATGTGTTCTTTGGTCTTCCACTCATCCTTTGGCCTTGAGGATTCCAAGTGATGAGAGTTTGTCTTGTGACGCAGTTGGATAGTTTCCTCAATGTGTGTCCTATCCACTTCCAGAGCTTCTTCCTGATTTCTTCTTCTGCATCATTACTATTACCATTACTGTTACCATTATTACTTCTACCATTACTATTGCCATTATAATTAATACTGCTATTAGTGTGATTATTGTTACCATTACTACTACCGTTATTATTATTATTGCTATAATTAGTATCATTATTGTTACCATTACCACTATTACTATTATTAGCATCCATTATCATTTTACTATTTTTATCCCCATGGGGATACAATTTAACTCAGTTTACATAATAATAAACATACAAGTAATGTGTAATTTACAGGAAATAAATAAGAGAACTAAAGAAAGAAAAACAAAAAGAAAGAAAGAAAATTCTAACAGTTTTCTTCCTTTTTTTGTTTTTTTTTCTTCTTCTTCTTGTTCTTATGAATAAGATAATTAAGAAAGTGTATGTGTTTGACATAAATGTTAAATATGTGTTCAACGTTGAACATTGAACATGTATGTGTCAATTATACCATTGAATGATTGATTAGTTGACTTTAGTTTTTAAGACAATGTATAAAAATTATAGATAGAAAGATGTTAAGAATTGTAGTTTATGTATAGATGGATAGTGTCTTGTAATGGTATTCAGTATGATGCGTATTTCGTCCTATTTGTGACTCGTCAATTGTATGAAACCGCATCTCAAAGTTGATATTCACTATAGGACTTGAACTCAGTACTATTCTCTTCAAATGTCATTGCACTATTCACTAAGTTATTGAGTCCTGATAGCGATTTGTTTGTACATTGGGGTGAAGTTTAAATTCATTTGGTGTTGTTTTACTTGAATCTTCCCATGGATGTTAAGGACTGAAATTGATTATTCTCAGTGTTCCCTTCAGATTACGGATAAACCTTACTGATGATTACCGAATAGCACGAAACCTCGGTTCAGAGTTTCCTGATGACTACCTTTAACCATCATCTGAAATTCAGAGTATTCTCTAAGTAAACTAAAATGATCTTCAATCAGGTACATTGTTGTTTAATTGAAAGACACTTTTTTTCTGAACAATTTATTCTGTTACAGGTATGTGGGGGGGGAGATTGTACCTTTTAAACCATTCAGCAATAATCCTTCACACCTTTTCTAATGCAAATATATTATTTTATTTATACATGTTGATTGTTAATCCTTTGTAGTGATAGATCATCTCTTTTACTCCTCTGATTGTATCTCAAATGAACTGATTGTATCAGTTACTGGATCCATCCCCCATTCCTCTGTTATCAATCACAGTTACCATCATTCATTCAAAATTGATTGATCACTGGATGGTGATCCATGTCATATGTGTCAAGTCCTTCTTAATGTAAATTGAATGCTAAGTCGAGTCACCTAGACTAGTGGTCACAATGCAACATGGTCGATAGCATCCGATTTGCACTAAGGACTTGACATACATGACATTGATCACCACCCAATGATCAATCAATTGTGAATGCATCTCAGTCCTACAGGAGGTCTGTTGCAACTCGGATGGCCCAGTAGTAACGTCTCTGACTGTGAAGATGGGTGACATGAGATCGAGTCCGTCAGGTAACATCAGTTCCCTTAAGATTACAGGTACACCTTGCTGACGAGTACTAAGTAGCATGAAACTCGGGTCCAGGGTTTCCTGTCGACTACCTCCAACCATCATTCTACCATTATTCATAATCAATAATAATAATAATATACTTACTTCATAAAGTCTTATAATATTTGGATGATGTAAACTTTCTAAAATCGATATTTCTTGACTTAATAATCGTCTAGTTGATGTATTCATTTTACTTTTATCTAATACTTTAATTGCGACGCGTTCTTTGAAAAATTGTTTTCATAATCCAAGTGAAGAAAAAAGAAAAAAAAAGGAGAATGATGTAATTCCATTTCAATTCAATAAAGTAAAACAAGTGTCATGGCAACAATATTCACATTCAAATGTCTCTTATATGATTAGAATGATAATGATTGTTAATCTATGAATAAATAATCTATATGTGGTTTACTGGTTAAGCGCTCGTGTACGAGACTGATAGGTTCTGGGTCCGAATCTCATGAGGCGAGATCATGGATGCGCACTGCCAAGGAGGAGTTCTATAAGAGGACGAAACGGTCGTCCAATCCTTCTAGGTTGTCCATGAAGGTCTACCTTCAAGTGACTCATGATCTCAGTTATTAAAATTGCTAATAATATCAACAATTCTTTCTCTGATATTAATTCTATTAATATACAATGAAGTGAAAAAGTGTCATGGGGACAATATTCACATTAAAATGTTTCTTATATTATTAAGATGAAAATGATTGTCAGTCTATAAATAATTAAATTAATATATTTGTACTATATCTCAATGACCTGATGATCGATTAGATCACGAAGATGTCCACATCTAACGGGAAGCGTGGGATACAGTGGACAATTAGGATGCAGCTGGGCGATCTAGACTCCGCAGATAATTTGGCTCTTCTATTGCACACGTAACAACAAATGCAGGAGAAGACGATCAGTGTAGCAGTAGCCTCAGCAGCAGTAGGTCTCAACATACACAAAGGGAAAAGTAAAATACTCTGATACAACACAAAATGCAAAAATCGAATCACGCTTGATGGAGAAGATTTGGAAGATGTAAAAACCTATAAATATCTGGGCAGCATCATTGATGAACATGTTGGATTTGATGCAGATGTGAATGTGTGAATCGGTAAAGCAAGAGCAACATATCTACAATTGAAGGACATCTGGAACTCAAAACAACATTCGACGCCAAACTCAGAATTTTCAATACAAATATCAAAACAGTTCTATTGGGTGGAAACCTGGAAAACTACGAAAGTCATCGTCCAGAAGATACAAGTGTTTATTAACAATTGTCTACGCAAAATACTTCGGATCTTTTGGCCAGAAACTATCAACAACAACCGACTGTGGGAGAGAATAAACCAGATTACATCGCTTATGGGAATCCAGAAACATAATAGAAACTTGATCGAACAAGTCGGTAAGATATATCTTATACTCAACTGATCATATGATGACTATATGGAAGAACATTTGGATCTGAAGATTTGAGGTTCAAATTGTATAATGGTTATAAGCGTTTCATTTTGAAGTTTACTATTCCAAACAAGTACCTATTCAGTACTCTTTAACTATTATTGATTATCTTATTGAATTTATCCTGTGATAATCGCAATGTCACTTTCAATAGTAATTTATTATCAGAAGCGGAAGGGGGCTTATGGAGATTTTAGTAATTTAATTAAAGCTAGACCATTTTGGAAAACTTGGATGTTCACTACTGAGAAGTTCTATTCTAGGATGAAACGGTTTTCAAGTGCTTCCAGATTTTCTATGGTGGTCTAGTCTTAATTGATAGATAAATTCAACTATTAAATTAGTTATCAGTATAGGGTTGCGGAAATTTTTAAGCTGTGATTAAGATCATGAACCGATTGATGTTAGACCACTGTTGGAAACGTGGAAGCACTGGACTGCAGTTTCGTCCTACTGTAGGACTTCCTAGCAGTGCGCATTCACGATTCAGGTCACGGACTCCGAACCCAGAGCCTTCAGTCTCGTGCGCGAATTAATTAATTATTTGAAAATGCCTATTTCTTTCTTTTTTTAAACTTCACAGGAATGCATTCCAATAACTCATACAAAATTCAATTACGTAACTGTCAGATCATATAGTGAATAGAATATATTTTAAAACTATGAAAGTATAAGACAATTATCAACATTTTTCTCAATTATAATCAATTAATAGTTGAATTTATGAGTCAATTAAAGCTAGACCACCAGTGAAAGCCTGGAAGCATTGGATAGCTGTTTCGTCCTAGTATGGGACTTATCAAAAGTGAGCACCCATCATCCTGCCCTGTGTGATCTGATATAATCAGTTAGTGATGTAACATGATTATTATTTCACGTGAATTAGCAATTGTTTCAATCAGTATTCTGTGAAAATTTCCAAAAATATGGAAGTTTGACACTCACAATTGATTGATCATTGGTTGGTGATCAATGTCATGTGTGTCAATTCCTTATTTAGTGGTTGGAGGCAGTCGATCATCTAATCTCAATATATAGTGCCCGCAATGTCAAGTCACCTAGACTGATGGCCACATTGGAACATGGTCGATAGCATTCGATCTGGACTAAATAAGGACTTGACACATATGACATTGATCACCACCCAGTGATCAATCAATTGTGAATGCATCTCAGTCCTACAGGAGGTCTGTCGCAACCCGGATAGCCCAGTAGTAACGTCTCTGACTGTGAAGCTGGGTGACACGGGCACGAATCCGCCAGGGAGCACCAGTTTCCTCAAGATTAAAGGTACACCTTGCTGACGAGTGCCAATTAGCATGAAACCCAAGTCCAGGGTTTCCTGTTGACTAACTTCAACCACCATCTAAGTCTTACACTACTAAATAAAATGATAAATAATCATTAATGACTTGTAGGAAAAAAAGTACTTGAGTAAGTTGTCCTCATATAACTGGTTTAATGTCTTTACATTTATATTTACAAGAAATGTTTCAGTTTCCATTTAAACACACACACAAATACCTGTTATATCTTATGATCTTGTGTCCTATTAATATATAAAGTAATAATCCCGCCAATTGGAGAACAATCAATTATCGACCAGACCAATGACACATAAAACCCGTGCGGGTTTTGAACCTCTACAAATGGAGTCTTGCTGATTGGATCTACTTTATGGCGGCGATTTTTATAGACGAATTTGGATGAAGAGTGAACGTGTGGGACTTATAAAGGGTTGAGAGGTATGTAAGCTCCACTTAAGGTGGCCTTGTAACCTATTAATAAATGACGTAATGATACCGCAAATTAGAGAACACTAATTTATCGACCGGACCGATGACCCATAAAACAATCACGAGCAGTCTAGAGTCCTTATATCTCCTGCTTCTAGCCTACTCCACTATGTTAAGTCCAGAACACAAATCTCAGACTCCGCGATATGAATCATTTATTTCAAGTATATTGGGTTTATATACCAACCAAACAGACCACATCGTACCATAAAATGGAAAATAGATAGTGTGCAAGACTGGGCATAACTGAAGAACGGTAAATCATACAACATCAGTCTATGGGTCAAAATAAAGCTTATAATAAGAGGGACATGAATATGAATAGTTTAATGACTTAACAATCATGCAATAGAAATCTACGTGTAGTATTGGTCCAGAAAAGGATCCCAAAAGTTACCATTCATTATGCTTATTGGGGTATAACAGTATGTTAGTTGTCAAAAAGCAATTGCTGTATTGTATTTCATCACGTCTTTTCACTGTTGAAAGATTTGGTCCAATCGTTTATACTTCAATATTTCAATGAATGAACTGTATTTTATTGAGAGTTTTTTTTCGATGGAGTTTTATTCTCTGAGATGAATGGTTTAGTTATGGAGGTTTCATCGTTCTTCGTAACGACATCATCACCGTACAAACTTCAGATAGAAGTGAAATGTTGAAATCTAACAATTAACATAGACGGTTTATAATTAAATTTAATATAAAAGTTACACCTTTGAAATGTTAGATGATTTGTACACAGAAATTTCTCATCAGTATTTTCACAATTGAATTTATGAGTCGATCTAGGCTACACAACCATTGAAAATATGGAAGCACTGAATGAACATTTTGTACTTGTATGGGACTCTTCAACATTACGTTTCTACGACCCTACAGACGTGGTCTAGATCCTAAGTCCGAGTCTGAGGTACGAGATCGTGGATACGTATTGGTGAGGAGAATTATACGAGAATGAGACAGTCATCCAGTGCTTCCAAGTATTCAATGATGGTCTAGCTTAGACTGATTCGTTAATTCAACAGTGGAAATGTTACAGTCTCAGGCAAATCCTCATACTTTGAATATTATTCAATTCTATTGATATTTGATTGTTAACTAAACATATAGACCATTATTTTATTTATTCAAGGTACCCATATAATAAAAGTATACTTTATAATACCTCGCATATCTGTATTGCAATATACGATTTTTTCACTTTATGAGACTCTTCAGAAGTGCGTTGCTATGATGCCACAGATATGGTATAGAAATTACGCGTTCGCACAACAAACTGTCGGTTCTTGGGTTCGGAATCATGGATGCGCATTGCTGAGAAACCGTTTCATTCTAGTATATAAACTCCTCAGTAATGCGCATCGATGATTCCCCACCCGAGACTCGAACTTAGTACCTTCGGTTTTCCAAGATGATCTAACTTCAATTGATTCATTATCTCAACTATTGAAATAGATTTTACTTTAGATCTAAAATTTTCGATTGATTTCAACTTAAAGTACAACATCTCTGTACTTTACTTTTGTCAGAAAATTCAACCTTAGATGAATCAAATATTTGAATCATAATCCTATGATTCATTCTAATTATTGATATCCTAATGTACGTTGATTTGTCATCAATGAAAGTTAGATAATAATAATAATAATAATAATGGTAATATATACATTTGTTCGGTTACATATATTTGATCACAGTACCAATATCTCAGTAAATAATAAACAATATACAAGGAAATTTTGTAAATCACAATATTAGATGTATAAAACGTCCCGTGCACAGGACTCGAACCCAAGACTTTCAGTTTCGAACGTGAATGTTTAACCTGTAGTCTGCTGAACTGGCACCAAACGGTATTAATGTCTAACTTTAACCGATCCGCAATATTGTGCGACCATCTCCTATTATCTTCAGTGGGTAACTTTCATTTCATTTATTTATTTAAACAAGTATACAAAGGTACA